TTGATTTGCACATATTGTTTGCTATCTTAGCTTCCTGTGTGTCAGTGGAGGCCAGAGAGTCTGTCAGATGTTCACCTTTAGTGACCCGCGTGACCTCGACCATCAGAAACCACACAACACCTTCATTCAGCGCCGAACCACCGAAAGAGCAGCTGTATTGTGCAGAAAGCAGCCAAGTCTAAATATAGCTGCACTATTGATTACTACAGCCGGGAGAGCAGGCCGAGCTCAACTGATACTCTGGTAAACAGAAAGGAGCTCAATAAAATATGAATGTAACCGTATAGTGAAGAGGTTTTATTTTAGTCTGGGGTGCATGTATGTAATTGGAGGCGTGTAAACTCGTGTTCGCTCTGCAGGAAAAACCTTGTTTGTTATCATGGACTGACGGATGTGCTGTTGCTTCCACTGGTTTAAGTGTATTTAGCTTTACGGTGTGTGAATGATTTACTGCACGTATACATACGATTTATTGCCCATTGGCAGGATTTACTAACAGTGGTCCCACTTCCAGACTAGTCAGGTGATGTGACCTGGCGAGCGGCCATTTTTCACTGTGTAATTTGCTATCTGGCAGCCAATTACCGACACATTAAAGGTCTGCGGTGTTTGGGAGTTATCGCTGTGTGGGCTCCTCTCTCGTTTCCTCTTTCCCCCTTTCTCTTCCCTCTTTTAACATCCACTATCATTCTTCTTTGTCACAGCTTTATGTCTGGGACTCAGTCATATATCACGTCCATAAGCCGGCTCCGGCTGAAATAATGTGCGATGGAGTGAATTCGCGTGAAGCTGATTTGAGGATCCTGGCAAAAGCCCCAAACTCCTCACCACGTTTAACTTCCTCTTTATTTCAGCTTTCTTGATTTAGCCTTTCGCCTCCTCTCGTCTCTCTGCCTCATTACTCCGCCCACTCGGAGATGTGTGTGCCACTCAATGTAATTCCTACTTGCGATGTATTAATAGTACATGTTTGCCGCTATAAGTCTTTCTATCCGGGATGATGACTCACCCTTTGCACATAAAACACAGTTGCTTCCTGATTATTTCTCTATGGATTAAGCTCCAGCGAGGACAAATTTAGACCTGCATCAATATTAAACTCAATTTCAAAGAGCACTTGTCAATTGAGTTCACATTTTGCAAGTTAAACTTGTGCAAAGTGTTGCTGCAGCTCGTTAATATAGAAGGAAACCATGTTCCATCTGTTACACGTTATTCATAGAATTACTAAAAACAGTGTGAGTCAAATACACCCGTCCTTTAAAAATACAGCATACATGGAGAAGGGGAAGCCTGTGATTTATATTTGTTACTGTTGATTTAACACATTTTTCACACTGGTCTCAACTAAATCTGATAATTTTAGCAAAGCAGTTCAGGAAATAGTTTCCTCATTTTTGGCTCTTTTAATTTCCACTACATGCAACATTTAAATAGAACAATTAAATGCAATTTAAATGTCTTTAGCAACATACCAGATTGTGAAAATTTGTTAGCTATAAACTAAAGGATGCAATGTTTTAAGTAAATGGTCAGAAAAGTAAATGATGTCCACTTGTCTAAGAAATTCTGAAACCCTCGCTGCACCTGCTCAGGTTTTGCGTTAGTTTTCCAACTGAAAAGTGGCGTATTTGCCAAGAAACACTTAAACTCATCACGTCTCACTGATTTTTCAGGTGCCTATCTGGTTCCCTACTTCATCCTCCTCCTCATCATCGGCATCCCTCTCTTCTTCTTGGAGCTGGCGGTGGGTCAGAAGATCCGACGTGGGAGCATCGGGGTCTGGAACTACGTCTGTCCTCGTCTGGGCGGGATAGGGATGTCAAGTCTGATGGTAAGGGCGGTACATTTTAGCTTTAATCAGTGAAACTCAGACTCATCCATCATCTTTATGGCTGTACGCCCTAAATACACCCCTGATGATGCTTCCTCTAACATGGCTGTTTAAGTCTTTAATGGCACCTTGGAGCAGCAGTTTGAGGGGAGAAAAAAAAGTGTGAGTCCTCTGATAGGAATCAGGGAGGATGTAAATGAGGGAACAGCTGTGAAACCCTGTAGTTAACCAGAAACACATCTGCTGAATGTGCAGCTTTAAGAACAAAAAACGTCTCTTTGTGATTTATGAAGGTGCATTCTTTTCTGCATGAGCAAATACACTGAACATCTATCTATCTATCTATCTATCTATCTATCTATCTATCTATCTATCTATCTATCTATCTATCTATATATCTATCTATCTATGTAACGTGATCCCCTCAGAAGGCATAAAGTCTTGAGTCACCACAGTGCTTTCATGTTGTTCAGTCTCTCCTGGGTTTCTGGGAGCTATTGACGTGTTGGAGAGTGAAAGGTAGCCTTTCTTTGGAGTTGTGCGGCTGGCGCAGAAGTAGCTATAAATATCTCATAGATGATCACTGTTGAAAAGAGAGCACTTTAATTATTCATGCTTCCACCAACCTTATTTAGCTTCTGAATGTCCTTGCTGGCAAGACTGCTCAGAAGACTGACAGCAACACGGGACATGCACAAAGCGTGCTGCCTCATTTGCATGCTTTCCTCACTCTGTACAGATGTGATCCTGAAATGAAATGCTGGCATGAAGCTTAACGTCATAGTTTTGGGAATGTAATGCTGGGTAGTTTTCATCACACAGCTGAGACGAACCATAAGTCTATCTGTCTATCTATCTCTGCAGGTGTGTGGCTTTGTGGGTCTCTACTACAACGTGATCATCGGTTGGAGCATCTTCTATTTCTTCCAGTCCTTCCAGTATCCTCTACCGTGGAGCGACTGCCCAATCAGAAAGAACGGGACGCTTGCCAGTGAGTGACATCACATACACAATTAAATATGTAATGAAGAGAAAAGGTACTAGAAGAAAAAATAAACTATACGGTGGTGCAAAGAGTATCTTTGAAGTCAGCTGGATTCTGGGAAAGGTGAATTTCCCTCCAACCAGCAGTTGTTGAGATGTTTCCGTGTGAACCAAACTGGACGAAGACTGTCTGACAGTGTCGTGTATAGAGCCATGCTGCTGGATGGCTGCAAATCAACCAGAATAACAGTTTTTATGCAGGAACAACTTGTCCAAAATGTAATAAGAGAAATCAAAGAGCAATAGAACTAAATAGAATAGATCTTTATTGTCATTGTTATAGAACAAGAAAGGCGCTTTAGCAGCTCTTGGAATTAGCAGAATAGATAAAAGGACGCAAATTAATGACATAAAATGCATTTTAAAGAGAGATTACGCTCTAATAAAAGAACACGATCATTGAAATGACCACAGTTGAGGTAGAATGTACTAAAGTGGGAGTTTGTCACAGGAAAACAGGACGGTATTCACTGTTATTTAGATTTGACAGAGTTATGTGATTGAGTTGGCTCCTGTTTGCAGGATAGAAGCTAAATAGAGACTCAATCTAAAGGGAACTGCTGGGTTTATTCTTCAAGGACATGTGAAATGTATTTTCTCAGTGAGCTGTTAAGTGGGTTATAAGCCAGAGTCCACTTCACTTCAACTTCAACGACATCAAGAGCGCTTACATGTTCACTTATGCTACCTTTATAACAATCCACTTGTGTCACTGATTAGGTCAAACATAGCAGGATGTTTCCACAGTTATACCTCGGTGCTGCTGCAGACTGTAGGATTACATTTGCGTTGATCGAGCTCAGTGTTTGTCGACAACACCTGAGCAGATCAGACAAACTGTCCTCACTCACTTACAACTTTCTGTCATGACTTCGCTGACATAATCCAGATTAAAAACCCTCTGGAGTTCATTCGATTAGTGGTGATAATAACGTAACCCCCGGGGCAGCCAAGAAACACTCAGCATGTGTATGACTCAGCGAGGCAGCGATCCAGGCTGAAGGACGCTAATGCTGAAGGACAGCAGCAGAATGGAAAACGTTGCACTCTGTCTGTCTCACAGATTCATGTCCAGAGTGACAGACAGAGCGCCATGAAGCTAAACACAGCAAGCACAGTGTACAGTGAATCCAGCCGGACATCTCGAACGTGTCTGATTTAGATTCATCTGTAAAGAGCTGCTTTCTCTGCCTTTGTTTATTTGTGATGAATCTGCACCGTCCTGCATGAGTGTGTGGAGAATCGTAGCACTGCTGACTCTAATTTCAGCCACACACAGTATATATCACTTCTTCAAGGCAACAAGAGAATATACTGTGTGTGTGTGTGCACAGGAAATAATCTCCAGAGTTGTGAATTGGAGGATCATGCTTTGCATACTAAGTGCACAGATGACCTTGTGCAGCTCATTTATGTCTGAGAGGTGTAAACCAGCTGAGAATTGAGATATTGACTCTGAGCAAACATCCTTGGTCTCACTATATTTCTCCTTCTGCCTTCCTGAACCTCTTCCCTGCAGCAGCCAGAGCATCCCTGCTGTAATTTCACCCAGTGTTGGAGGTATACATGTTACAGAGCTAAAAAAGGACCGAATGTATTTAGCTACACCGATCGACCACAGCATTAAAACCACCTACCTAACGCTGTTGGGTGGCCCTCTTGCTGCCAAAGCTGCTCCGACCTGTCCAGGCCTGGATGCAGGTGTCCTGTGGTCTCTGGCACGAGGACACTGGCAGCAGATCCTTTGGCTCCTGGAGGTTGTGCTTTGGGTCTTCTGTGAATTAGGTTTGCTCCAGAGCATCTCATGGATGCTCCATTGGATTAGGATCTGGGGGTTCTGGAGGTTCTGCCAAAGCTTTGGCTTGGTGGGGAGAGTCTTTCTGATGTGTAAGAATGTTTAGGTTGGTGGTACATGTCAAAATCAGGTTTCCCAGAGATGGTGGTTTTAATGTTGTGGCTTATTGGTGTAGATAGCAATCAGAATGCAGTTACACACTAAAAAATCAATAACAAGCTTGTTAATCAGATATATGCAACCAACAAATAAGCAAGCAGAGATCAGCCAGTTTACAAAATGTGTGCGATATCTTTGGCCATTTATTTCTATCCACAACCTCTGAGTATGTGGTCTATATTTTTGCTGCTCTGTGCAACACTGCAGATTGATCTTATTTTTATTTTTACCTTTTTCATGTATTTTATGCTGTGAAGAAACAGAGAAGTTAAAAACTGCCATTTCTGGTGCTGTTTTTTTTTATTTTAGGAGGGTCCATTGCAAGATAAAGTCGTCTCATTGTCGTGGTGTCTACTGGTTTTGCACTAATTAACATTTCAAGGAGAAGCTGGATTCTTTTTTCAAAACAATGACTCGTGGGTTCGTTCTGCTTTAGGTTGGAGCGCTGTGTGAACGCCACATTCATTCACAGTGTTACAGAAATGTTAATGTAGGACAATATTTAAGTAATCAGACACAGCTAAAATACATTTCTCACTATGAGCAACCTAACAGCTCCGTGATAATTAAGTGCATGTATTCTCTAGTCTGTTGTGAGACACACATCAAAAGTAACCCAGCTCTGTTCTCTACATGCCTTCTGGTTTACTGCATGTTATTACCCAAAGGAAACCTCTACTTTCTCTTTTTGTGGTGCACAGTTGTGGAGCCGGAGTGTGACAAAAGCTCGGCTACGACCTATTTCTGGTACCGTCAGACCCTGAACACGACCAGCACCATCGCTGAGAGCGGCGGGCTCAACGTCAAAATGACCCTGTCTCTGCTGGTGGCCTGGATCATCGTCTGCCTCGCCGTCATTAAAGGAATCGCCTCCTCTGGGAAGGTACTGCAGAGAGAAATGGATAAGAGAGAAATACAAAAGGCGCCTCTCTCCTGACTGTATGGTTTCCACTTTCACAGGTGATGTACTTCAGCTCTCTGTTCCCCTACGTGGTGCTGTTCTGTTTCCTGGTCAGAGGTTTGATGCTGAAGGGATCGGTGGACGGCATCGCACACATGTTTACTCCCAAGGTGACACGTCGTTTTCTTCTCTTTCTCACCCTATATTTGTTTAAACCAGCCATGCGTGCTCACTAACAATCGATTTCCTCTTCCCCTATCTCAGTTGGAGAAGATGCTGGAGCCTCAGGTGTGGAGGGAGGCGGCCACCCAGGTCTTCTTCGCTCTGGGTCTGGGCTTCGGAGGAGTCATCGCCTTCTCCAGCTACAATAAGATCGACAACAACTGTCATTTTGACGCCGTGCTCGTCTCTTTCATCAACTTCTTCACCTCCGTTTTGGCCACGCTGGTGGTGTTCGCCGTGCTGGGCTTCAAGGCCAACATCATGAATGAAAAGTGTGTCGTGGAGTAAGTCCAAAACCCTCAAAAGCTTTTTTTTTTGGACTCTTCAAGTAAGAAGAAGAAGAAGATGTATGTAACTGCAAGCAAACAGTCAAAGAGCAAAAATATGATTTTGTATTGACTTTCCCATACTTCTACTTTAACGTTAAGTATACAATAGATTTGCACTACTTAAAAAAATATATTTATTCATGTCCAACTCACTACCAGCAGACTGTAGTGAATTATAGCTCAGGTAGTTCAATCACATTGGCACACCCTCCATTTGCTGTTAACAGTAATAATAAGATCTTATTGCACATACATGTCCCATAAACTGTAAGCACGAGTGATTTTTTTGCACATAATGTTGAGCTTCCAGATAACACTAAAGCCCCCAAAGCCAATACTCAATAACAACAGCCTTTGACCTTTATGATTTCCAATAAGTGTTTCCATTAGTTTCTTTCAAGCTTTAATCTTTTCCTCATGTGTAAAAGCTCCCAGTTTAATGATATTTTTCAATTTGTCGCTTCTGTCGCTGCTTTTTTTAAATTAAAATCCCACCAAAGATTTTCAGTGAGATAAATATCTGGGGAGTAAGACGGTCATTCAAGGACGTTCCAGGAATGATTCCTCAACCAAGCTTTAGCTGACTTGGGCCTCTCCGTGGCATCAAAGTCCGCTGATTACCGACCGACAGATTACACTCAGAGGGCATCGCCTTCTTCTTCTGTGCAGACATGAAGTCGAGTTTATGGTTTCTTGCAGCTGCAAAACATCCCCATAACAAGATGGACTCAGCTCCCAAGTTCTTACCCTTTTAATGAAGGGTGATGCTGATCCATGAGCCCCCATAGTTCAAGTCTAGTCTCATCCCTTCATGAAACAGACTCACAGGCCTGGTCAGGTCTGCTCTTGCATGTTCAAGGTTTTTTTGGTCAGTGACGGAGTGCAGGGCTTTTCTGTTGTTTAAAGGCGTCTGATTCCCACTGGAGAAACTTTGGTCTTTCTTCCCCACTCAGTTCGGTCTGCTGTGTGCCGTTATTTTTAAACTTGATGCTGTCACCATATTTATTGGAACTTGAAGTGTTTTGGAAAACTCCCTCCAAAATCATGGCCCGTTTGGATGTAATGAAATAATGCAGATTGAATGTTTTACTGGCATTTCAATAAGTTTCTTGATAGAAGATTAATAGTCGTGCATGAATTAGACAGAAAATCCTGCAACTCATTTAAGCATCTCTCTGTTTATTGTCACTTAACTGCATCACAAAAAAAGTCCTCAGATCTTCAGTAGGCTAAATAATTTGATTGCAACTGTAACAACATGCATAAGTTCATGTCTGTGAAGATTCTCAGTCATCCAGGTCATGGTTATCCTCGTGGTTTAATCATAGAAACTGGACTTGCTTGAGTTTCTTGAAGAGTTTCTTGAAGAGAAACTCAAGAAACAAAAGCAAGCCCAGTTGATTAAACTACAAGAGAAAATGCATCCGTTTGCTTCCATCCCGTGCGGGGGCTGGAGTCCATCCCAGGCGGCTTAGGGCGAAGGCGTGAACCAGCGACCTTCTTGCTGCGAGGCAACAGTACTAACCAACTGCGCCACTTGCAGCCCTATAAGTTTGTTTAATATAATATCTTTGTGTATGTCTGTAATAATTTAATCTCATTCTGTTTCTGTTCTGTAGGAATGCAGAGAAGATCCTGGGATACCTCAACTCCAACGTCCTGAGTCACGATCTTATTCCTCCACATGTAAACTTTTCCCATCTCACCACGTCGGACTACGCTGAGATGTACGGAGTCATCAAGACGGTGAAGGAGGACGGCTTCGCCCAGTTGGGTCTGGAGCCTTGTGTCCTGGAGGACGAGCTCAACAAGGTGAGCTTCTGTCACACGTTGATGCAGCCGAATCTGCAGCATGTTCTGTATTTCACACCTCTGGCCGTTTCTCTGCAGTCGGTCCAGGGCACCGGTTTGGCCTTCATCGCCTTCACGGAAGCCATGACCCATTTCCCGGCGTCTCCGTTCTGGTCCGTCATGTTCTTCTTCATGCTCATCAACCTCGGCCTGGGCAGCATGATCGGCACCATGACTGGCATCACCACGCCCGTCCTCGACACCTACAAAGTTCAGAAGGAGCTTTTTACAGGTACGCCTCCCCGCCGCCTGCCCGCTGACTCCCCCAGCCAGGCTTCTACGCTATTAGTAGTTAAAGCCCCTTACTCAGCACTCTAACAGGATTAAAGCACATCTGGGAATGGGCTGCATTAGGCTTTGTGTGATTGCTCTGAGCGTACTGAATGCAAAACAGCAACAGGCAACAAAACCACTTACTGGAAAATGTGGCCGTTTTATTTTCCATTTCTTCCAATCTTGAACTCGTCGCCGTCTTTTCCTCTGAATGAGTTTTATTTTTCTTCCTGTTCGTTTCAGTGTGCTGCTGCATTGTGGCCTTCTTCTGCGGCCTGTTGTTTGTTCAGCGCTCTGGGAACTACTTCGTCACCATGTTTGATGACTATTCAGCCGGTCTGCCTCTCACGGTGGTGGTCATCCTGGAAAATCTGTCTGTCGCTTGGATATACGGCACTAAAAGGTACGACTTTAAGATCTGAAAGAGTCGCTGGAGCAGAGGAGTGGTGTTAACTATGTGTTTTATAAGCCTTACTGGGTTTTATCTTTTGCTGTCCTGTCTGTCAGGTTCATGCAGGACCTGGAGGACATGCTGGGTTTCCGACCGTGTATCATCTACTTCTACCTGTGGAAGTACGTCTCCCCGATCTGTCTCATCGTGCTCATCTCAGCCACCGTCATAGAGATGGCCATCAGCCCACCAGGATACAACGCCTGGGTTGAAGAGCTGGTCAGTCTGTGTGTCAGCTTTCTGTCTGTGACTTAACCCTCTGAACCACAAGCAGACTTAAAAATGTCTTCCCATGTGTTACCAATACTGGAAAAAAATGAGGTTGGATTCAGGTTGGTACATGTTAAATTTGTTTCCAGACTCCTAGCGGCCCTCAGTACACACAGCCTACAGTATAGCTGGAAAGTCCTTGAATTTTTGTTCTGTGACTGTTGGTTGTTGAGTCACTAATGGCTTCTCCATTTCACTTGGAAGTTCTTGAATGTAGTTCTTGTAAACGGGTCATTTTTAGCAAAAAAGTAAATTAGATAATTTTAGGATAAGATTAATGTCATGACAGAACTCCACATTACACATTATTAATCCAAGGACCATCTGATCGGCATTTTGGCAATTTTTTAGAAAAGATAATGTTCATTTCAAACCTGCTATCCAGTTTTGGGGTTCTGAGGGTTCAGTTAAAGAAGCTCTAACACAATGTAAAAGTGCTGCATTACATACACAACGTCCCACTTCCACATATATTATGTGTTAGTGTTAGAATGGGGGAGGTCTGACGTTATCCAACCATCAAAATTTGAACAGACAAAAAAGAATCACCAATGTAGTTGCTATCGTTGACCTGAATTGGCTTGAATGAGATTAGATTTCAAATCAGTTTTTTAATTTATGCAAACATGTTTCATTGCTTTTGTCGTTGTTGATGTCTTTTCTTTATTGCAAGGGTTTTTTGGAAAAGGCGTAACGATAATAATATGATCCCCAATCATTGAACGCTGGTGTTTATGGATATGGTCCTGTCCCAAACTAAACTCACACATGAGCTCTGGTGTGGACACTTTGATGTAGTTATGTGCCCTTTTTTTTTTCTAAGTCTTCAAACTTTAATGAGAGACTTCGCTGTAGTCCACAGCGACATTGGTGAGGTACAAATGTTGTCCTGCCCCCACAAAATGCACAAAATACGACTCAAATGGTGTTCGTCTGTAAATGACAGCATCTGGCTGCTTGCTGTCACTTTTACCCATTTGTATAGTTGTTTGTGTTTTCAGCCAGAAGTCTGGGTAGCGTTTAGAAATGCTCACGGCTTTCCTGACTTTTGGTAGTTTGCTAAAATGTAAACACAGTGTAACGCTACAAATGGGGAGCGATCAACAGAGCAGCTGATCAAACTGAATTCAACAAGAGTTCAGATTCACTTTCAGTTTTAACAGCAATGCATTGTTCTCGCTGTCACAATAGTGTGTCCCATTCCTCCTCTTTACAACTTTTGAGCTCTAATGAACTCAAACATTACAGCTGTGAGCCTATGCAGTGACCAGGTCTTAGGGTGGAGATGGGACGATGTGTTGGTCTCTGTGTATGCAAGAATGAAAACCATCTACTGCATGGTGAAGGTTTGAAATCTCCTTTTCAGTTGCACATCCTCACTCAGCCCTTGTCTGTCATTGTAGGCTCAGGAGCGCTTCCAGAGTTACCCTCCCTGGGCTCTGGCCATGTGCTTCGCCCTTATCGTCGTGGCCATGCTTCCCCTCCCCGTTGTCTTCATCGCTCGCCACTTCAACCTGATGTCGGACGGCTCCAACAAGCTGTCTGTGTCCTACCGGAAAACTATGATGAAAGACATCTCCAACCTGGAGGAGCAGGACGAGGCCAGATTCATCCTCGGCGCAAAACCCGGAGAGGCCCCCACAGCGCCGGCACGCAGAGCCTACCTGACCCCTGGAGGGAACAAACCCACGGACCCCAACTCCCTGTCACCAAACAGCTGCTACGGTACGAGCTACCAAAACGCTGCCATAAGCCCGACCACACCGAGCACACCGGACACGCCTGTGACGCCGGAGTCTGACTCTTGAATGCTGTCCAGCCCCGACGCCCCCTCAGACACCCAGCCCTGTAGCACAGTTTACTTTTTCAGCCATGACGTCTCCACCGGGGGTCACTGCAGCACCACGTATCCCCACCACTGCCCTGTTAACGCCACAAAACTACATGTAGCCACCCCGTTTATGTGAGCACACGCTTCCCCAAATAACACCAAGGAACCACCTGAGAAGATGTCCAGAAGGTCTCCGTGTTCCAGAGCGTCTGGACAAGTCGTCCCTTTGGAGATATTTGTTAACAAACAGGAGGAGGAGAAAAAAAAAGACAAAAGTCACTCCTGATCAGACGCTGGAATCAGGTTCATAGTGACGCACTGTACATTTGTATCTACTCTGTATTTAAGCTGATCAGGTTTATGTGCTGTAGATGACGTCCTGTGATCTGCTTTTCTTTGCCTTAGTAGAGAGATCCTCAGCTGCCCCCACAGTGTGATGCACATGTCTGTCTGTCTGCACAGTGCTGGGGATCTGAAAGAGTGAATGTAGACGAGTCGATGTGGTCCTGCTGGTTGAACAGGTGACAAACCAAAACAGGCTTTCACTCAGTTCAGCGGCACAGAGGACTGAGATGAATGTGAGTTTGATTATTCAATGCTGCCCTTCGTAGCAATACCGGGTGTCAAAGCCGTGCACAGACCAGGTTATGTTCCACTAGATGTGTCGAAGCACAGATATGCATCACCGAGAACAGACCGTCTCGTCATGTAGATTTGTTTTCACGGGACTCTCTGTATTGTAAAATATGCTAAAGGCTGCTCTGAAGACACCCGTTTATGTTCTATTCAGAACCCAAATCAACCTCCTTGCTGTATTTTGTGCGTAGTTCTTCTTGTTCTTGCTCATTCTGTAAAAACAGCGATGTACAGTAGAGTCATGTAATATAGGATGATATAGTTTTTGTTACCCGGAGTTTAAAACCACAGCGTCATCCTCCGTCACACACGAGTCGTGCTGTAGGAAATCACTCATTTCAGTTTCACCAAAGAGTAAAAAGGAAACAACAAAACACTTGAAAACTGGTACAGATTTATAAATCTGAGATGCTGAACTACGAAGATCGTACAGGAAGCACAGTGTGTCCGTGTGGGTGTGAAACAAATGTCCAGTTTGCTTGTTCGATGCAGTTTTTGCGTTCTTCCTACAAAAAAAAGCACAAAAGAGATGCTTACTGTGCACAAGAAAATGTGTGGTTCTATTATTTTGAACATTGCTGCACATGTGAAATTAAGAGACAAACACTTTATGTCCTATGAAGCAATATATACATTTATATTGGAGCACAAACCAAAATGCACAAACGATGTTCACTGTGAAGCAAAACCATGATGAACATAAAGGAGAAAAATCAGCAACGGACCAAAAGATTTAAAATCTTTAAGAGCAAAATTCTATGAAATCTCATCAACTCGTCAGATAAACTGAAAGCCTTAGACCGATGCACAAACAGAAGCGTACACGCACACATTCACTGTTGTCTGTATATTTGTGGAGCACTAAACCTCCTGAAGTGTAACTGAGGAAGTGTTGTGTTCCTTTGTGATGGTGGTCTTTGACTTCCTGTTAAAATGAGGTCGACCATGTTTCACTTTTGTACACGCTGACGGTGAATAGTTGTGCAAAACTGTCTACAAGTTCAAACTGAGCACATTTACGTTCCTGTGATATGGAAAGGGATACCTTTACTTATTTTTTTATCACAGTATTTAAAGCCATGGTGTTGAGGTTTAAATGGACTATATTTATATTCCTGTATATCTGCAGGTCCTTAGGCGTGATGATGAGTCACAAAGGTTTATCTTTTACAGGTGATCAGTGTGTATAGTGTATATTTTCATCTTGTGTGACGCTTACTGAGACTGTATATTTTAAGACTATTTTGTAGTTTGTGTAGCTTGTTTAGTTGTGGGACATGAACCTGCTGCTGGATGGTGGAGGTCATGTGTGGTCTCAGCGTGGTCGTGTCTGAGCAGCAGCTGCTCCTGGTGGCTGCGTCTCACGTCAGGTGACGTCGACTCACCTGTCTTCAGGTTTACTGGTCAACTTGTTTATAGCCACACTATCAGTTTACCACAAATCACTGTCAAAAATGCTTCTTTATGCGAGTTCCTGACATGACGCCCCCAAGAAATGATGAGAGTTCACCTCAGGTGTACTTTCAGGTGTATGCTAACAAAGCACGCTAACGGGTTCTTGTCACCCTGAACATTACATGCTAAACATACCAGTTTTAAAAGATGTTAAGTACTATTTTTATGAGGCTGGGAACAGCTGAGGTAGAGAACATGTGAGATTAGGAATACCTGATACTGAGAACAGCTGAAGTAAAGAACACTTGATGGTGAGAACACCACAAGTTGAGAACAGCTGAGACTGAGAACAGCTAAAGTTGAGAATAACTAAGGTTGAGAACACTTGAGGTAGAGAACAGCTGAGAACAGATGAGATTAGGAATACCTGATACTGAGAACAGCTGAGGCAGAGAACAGCTGGGACTGTGAACAACTAAGGTTGAGAATAGCTGAGGTAGAGAACAGATAAAGTTGAGAACAGCAGATGTAGGGAACACTTGAGGTAGGGAACAGCTGAAGTTGAGAACAGCTGAGGTTGGGAATAGCTGAGGTTAGGAACAGCTGATATTGAGAACATCTGAGGTAGAGAACAGTTGGTGGTTAGAACGCCTCAGGTTGAGAATAGCTGAGGTTGAGAACAGCTGAAGTTGAGAACAGCAGAGGTAGGGAACAGCTGACCCTGAAAACAGTATAAATTAGGACAAGCTGAAGCTGAGAAGAGCTTCCAAACCTCTGACTTATGTTCCCTTGACATACAGGCCACTGACTGGACAGTATTTACACACAGGGCGATCTGATTGGCCGGTCACAAAGTATCTTCTAGCAACACCTGAGTAACTCATAAATGAATGTAGTAACCTTTTAATTGTACATTTTGGCAACTTGTTCAGTGTTACATCATCAGTATTGCTGTAGTTTTTTATTTATTTATTTTTTTGTTCAGGTTCAAATATTTTCAACTTGCATGAACATATTTATTCCCACATTTGTGTGACAGGACATCCACATAAGTCAGGTTTATGTATCCACTCACATTCTCCCAGTGACTTTCAATGAAACTGGATTTCCTCTAAAACAACGTTGCATCGTGTCTGACGCACATCTTTAAAATATGCAGCTGAGCCTGATGCAATCCTTCTTCTGATGCCACCTTCAGGCAGAACTTGACTCTTTTTTGCCCTCTAGTGGCGTCTCTAACAGCAATAAGTTGTCTCAATCATTCACCCGTTCAGAAATGTTGTTTTCTGCTCTTACAGTCTCACAGGACTGCTAGTGTGGCTACAAACGCTTCAGTCTCGTTTGGTTTCTTGTGTTGTTTTAGTTTCTGCGAGCCGGGTACTTCCTGCTGAGAGCGTGTCGTGTAGAGATCTCCGTTTTGTTCGAGCCTGTAAATAACCTTGTGTAACCAGATAGTTTTTAATCCTGTGAAGTATATCGACGTCTTAACAGTTTTAGCAGTAAATGTAACATAAAGTAATGATGAATGTGATTAATGCACTTTTTTCACAAAGACTGCAAAAAAAACAAAAACAAAAAAACAGGAAAGTCAGCGTTTTGTTTAGTTGTCCTAATAGCAGTAAATTCAAGGTCGGTGTAAAAGCAATATCACAGTATTTAAACTGCAGAAAAAATGATGTGGCTGAAAGAAAACCTTGACACCTGACTGACTGTTGTCATAGCAATCATCGCGGATCAACCCTTAGAACAAAAGGGATGTTATGGCTGTGTGTGTGTGTGTGTGTGTGTGTGTGTGTGTGTGTGTGTGTGTGTGTGTGTGTGTGTGTGTGTGTGTGTGTGTGTGTGTCCAGGGCCTTACCGAGCACACATTTCAAACACCGTCTGCGCAGGAGACACGTTTAGAAATGTCCCTTTGCAGCTTCTCTCTCCTCGGTCATATTATGATTGTATTAGTGTAAAAATTGTGAACATAAAAGATAATCATGAGTAATAAAGAGTGGACAAGCTGCTGTTGTATGTCTGGATTTTTGTGAATCAGTCACACTTCTGTCATGGTAAAAAAATAAAAGGTGAATTAAAAGAGGAAACAGGACAATGACCAGAATATCAGGAATATTAAAAAAATCTGAGAAGAGTTTTTTATTTTGTTTTTGTATTCTATCAGATGTGAGATTCTCATCCAGGCTCCTCTCAGATGGATTTCTGATCTCTTTAGTGCCATCAGGTCAAAATGTACGTTTTCCCAAAGCTATGGTTGATGACTTTACATCATCGTGGATCCAGGTGGATCCAGGCGGAAGGTGGCGCCTAATCGCTTGAATGAAAACTGTTTTCTTGGTGCTCGAGCTGAAAATTGTTGTGTAGTGTTTCCCCCGATAGCCCCGACTTAAACTTAAACGTCACATGGCGGTGATTCCACAAAAACAAAGCTTCTTTATCTATTTGCTGGAGATGTTTTTACAAATTTATTTATGGATTAAACAATCACAACATAAAGAGCAAAACCTTGTTTGTAGTTGGAGGTGTCCTGACAACAGTTTCACACGTGTGTCTTGTAATTGTGGGGATAAAATCCTACTTTTTTTGGTTATTTAGATTTAAATATTACAGGATCTGCTGGGACAAACTGGGGCTGAGTGGCAGCATTGTTTCCAGCTCTCTAAATGCATTGATGCTAAACTCTGACAAAACAAATTCCCATCAGCCTCGGCTGTACTTACTTTTTAGTCTTAATTAGGAATTGTTAGCAACGTGGTCATTGTGAGCGCGCTAACATTAGCATTCAGGTCAAAGCAGTGCTGTGCAGAAGGACAGTCTGCCTCATCAGCTGTGTCCCAAATCCACACGACAAAGTCCGTTTATGCAGGACGACTGTCAAAAAACGCAACTCAGAACGTTCAGTTTGCAGCAGTTTCTGAGGGTGTTGTTGATGGA